AGTCTTTCAAATAGCGTGGGTGGCTTAAAGAATCTTATCGTTCTTATACTATAACACATCTTACGTTGTATACAGTTACGTTATTACTGCATCATATTAGTTAACTTTTGTTTGTTCAACTATCTGACTTTCTCTTTGCTCTCATGTAGTATCATGGATTTTCTTCTTTTGATTTTGTGTTCTCTTGTTGTATTATTATTCATTTTATATATAAAGTAAACTTTGAATTTACCTAATGTTAGGTTTACTTCATATAACTTTTATGCAATCTCGTTTCCTCGCGTCTACAATTTGTTGTATTATCAACAATTTATGAACTGACGAGAAAATTTACGTTTATTGCTCACGGACGAATCGTAAAAAGATTGAAAATAACCAACTCGGAGGGCATAAATCATAACATTGATGGATTGCAAAAGTGAAACGATAATAAAGGGGTATATACAGATAAGCGAGATTCCGTTATTCATATTTTAACGCGAACAGATTTATCATAGCGAAGGAAAAACAATCAAGAATCCGTTTTTTCTTTCTTTCTTTCCTCCTTTTTTCCCCCTCTCGCGTAATCATACTCCAGGAATCCGGTATGCAAAAAGTTTATCTTTGACGAGGTACTTCATTTTGTTTTATCGATGGCTATCTATTTTTTCATTATAAGCGAAAGATAATATATCAATATGTTTACCTACTTGACATATTTGTTTTTTTAGAGAATCGATTACTATAAATGATCGATCTATCGTCTTGTTGGAGTCAGTAACATAATTCGAAAATGTTGCATACGTTGGTTAGAGTAGTATTTTTGGGCGTTTGCCTGATTTCCGTGGCATTGGCTGCGAACAACGATTGGTATAGGAACAGTTTGATCTATCAGATTTATCCTAGAAGTTTCAAGGACAGCAATGGAGACGGTATTGGTGATTTGAACGGTATCACAAGCAAATTGGAACATATCGCGGATATCGGGGCCGATGCACTTTGGTTATCGCCGATTTTTACTAGCCCCCAAGCTGATTTCGGCTACGACATATCGAATTTCACAGACATCAATCCTGAATACGGTACTCTGGCAGATTTTGACAGGCTCGTGGCAAAAGCAAAATCACTCGGTCTGAAGGTATTACTCGATTATGTACCAAATCATAGCTCGCACGAGCACGAATGGTTTAAAAAAAGTATAAAGAGGATTAAACCGTACGACGAGTATTATATTTGGAAAAATGCGACATACGTTAATGGTCAAAGAAGACCACCCAACAATTGGCTTTCCGTATTCGGAGGATCCGCATGGGAATGGAATCAAGAACGTGGCCAATATTATTTCCATCAATTTGTTGCCGGTCAACCCGATCTCAACTACCGTAACATGGCTTTGGATCAAGAGATGAAGAATGTTTACTCCTTCTGGATGAACCGTGGGGTTGAGGGATTCCGTATTGATGCTATTAACCATATGTTCGAGGATCCGAGATTCTTGGACGAGCCATCGGCAAACCGTCCCGATCTCCCGTCAGACGATTACGATACTCTTGATCACATTTACACAAAGAATCAGAATGAGACTTACACCGTACTTTCCAGTTGGAGAAAATTACTCGACAAACATTCGGCCGATATGAAAACCGATTATAAGATGATACTTACGGAAGCTTATGCGGGTTTCGATCTTACGGTGAAATATTACAATGCCGGTTCTACGGTACCATTCAACTTTATGTTCATAGCAGATCTTAATAACCAATCTTCGGCTTCCGATTTCAAGCTATCGATCGATCGATGGATGAACAATCTTCCTTCAAGCAATACGGTCGGTAATTGGGTCGTTGGCAATCATGACAATCATCGAGTTGCCAGTAGGTATGGAATGAAACGTGCCGATAAATTGAGCATGTTGTCAATGGTTTTACCAGGCATAGCTGTTGTTTACAACGGCGATGAAATAGGTATGTTGGACAGACCTTTTACTTATGAAGAAACAGTAGACCCGGCCGGTTGTCAAGCAGGCCCAAGTAGGTATCACCTTAAATCGAGAGATCCAGAAAGGACACCGTTCCAATGGGACAGTACTACGAGTGCTGGTTTCTCGACGAGTAACAAAACTTGGCTTCCGGTTCATTTCAATTACAAGACCTTGAATTTGGCGGTACAAAAGAATAGTCCTGTCTCTCATTATAAGGTATTTAAGGCCATGAGTGCGTTGAAGAAGAAGCCTGTTATCAAGAACGGATCTCTAGAAGTTATCCTAGTTACCGAGAAAGTTTTGGGTGTTGTACGTAGGAACCAAGGTTCGATCGTGGTTCTGCTGCTCAATTTCTCAGACTACCCTGTTCAAGTCGATGCCAGAACGTGGTTGAACATTCCCGAACAACTTGTAGTATATATATCTAGTGTCGGATCTAAGATCAACACCGGTACTAGAGTCAATACCGCTTCTTATATTTTGCCCGGAGCAGCTTCCGTTGTTCTTGTATCCCCAAATGTCTTATATTATTAGTTCGGAAAGAAAACTTATCACGTTATTAATATTGATTGTCGAAAGAACAATAAAATTGAATCTTGTATTATGTTATTTATATAAGTATATTATAAGTATTAATTATATTATTATTACTGATATATATAATATATAAAACGTTGTTAATTTGTTATTTTCGTTCTTTTACAAATTGATCATCAAAAATAATATTGTATAATATATAGTGTGTTTATTTAAAATCATAATAATTGTCTTATCTACCAACACCTTTTTTCCTCTTTCTAACAAAAATCCATCTTATTTCGTAGAAACACTTTTCGATTCAACGAATTCGGCATAATACGCGACGCGTTTCAAGCTTTCAGAATCCTAAGCTTCGTAAATATTTATAATGAAGATATCCCAGCGGATAGTAGTAGTTTCTCTCGTCAAAAGTATAGCTATAGTGAGATCCTTTTAACAGTATACCATCCGTATAACGTCGCTTTCGCCTAACTTCTACGATCTCGTGGAAATCCAAGTACGTATATTTTCGTAACTCCGATACTTTTCCCTAATTCCTTAGCCCAGTTATTATTAGAGTTTTAATATTCTTTCGCGCGCATAAATTCATGCGAAATGAATTTATAATATGAATTCGAAACCTTGCTAAAAAGAAAAAAAAAAGAAAAAGAAAAAAAACTATTAACAAAATTTTTGTCCAACCGATAATTCGTGCAATCTGAACACGTGCGATTATTTAACTACACAACACGACACTACAATCTTAAACGTTTTAAAATTGTTCTCGTTAGTATCCTATAGCAACGACGGGTGGAGGGGGGATAAAAAAAAGAGTAAGCAGAAAGTTTCGTACGAGTTCGTCGACCCTAAAAGATGTACGTTTATATATTTTTATCTTCTTTTTTTTCTTCTTTTTTTTTTTCAAAATGAAAAAAGTCGAAATAAAAAGGTAAGGTGAAGAAGTTGCGACGTTACATTATATACGAATTCGACGGAGAAAGATAAAAATAAAAATACAAGAGACATAAGGGAGAGAGAAAGAAAAGAAAGTGCACGCGCACGCGCACGCGTTAAAAATTGTATGCGTATACGCGTGGCGTGTGCGCGTGCGTGTGCGTTGGTGGAAAATTTCAAGTTTTCGTACACAACATTCGCGTGCACACGCAAACACACACACACAACTATCCAGCGGACGCGCAGCACCAATCACGCTGAGTGCACATTCTTCAAGCTTCTTTCTTTATACCTAACTCACTCTTCCTCTCGTTTTACAAGGAGACAGTCGAGAGAAGAGAGACCACCTCCTTCTTCCTCCCCTTCCCCATCCCTTTCTCCTCGTTTCCATACATATACCTACTACCCCATTCTACTTCCTTCTTCTTTCTTTTTCTTTCTTAGACACGATGCACAACTTGCATGCATTTGGAGGAATGCCTTTACATGCATATGTACACGTGAGAGCACGGCCAAGATCGTTCTTTCGCATATTCAATTTTTCTATCTATCACTCACTCACTCATTCTCTGTCTGTCTGTCTCTCTCTCTTTCTCTTTTTTTTTATATTTTCCTATTTCATTTTCTTTAACTTTTTCAACAAACAATTTATATTAAATTATTTCTCGCCTGATATCGCGTCGCATCTAATTATATTTTATGTTAGCGAAATAATAAGTCAACTTGGTCTTAATTAATAATATTTTGTTTCATCACCTCTCGTCAAACCTGATTTCTCACTTCCTATCTCTCAAGCTTGTTCTTCCCCGTGTTACTTCTCCTTCTCCCCCCCCCCCCACTACCTTTCTCTTCTAGTTATACATACGAATACTCTCAGTTTTCCGAGTATATTTGCTTACTTTGAACTATATCAACTCACATATATATATGTATATTGTATATACATGTATGTGTATGTATGTATGTACGTTTTATCGATTAAAATTTCTGACGTTCGTCAGAGTGTTTTCAATCTTAATCAACGATACTTCGTCGAGTGCAGGATTATATTAATCGATTTCCTCTCTCTCTCTCTCTCTCTCTCTCTTTAAATTGTAGTCGTTTACTCTCTTTACACTTACTGTCTTTCCTTGTTGAGAAACGTAGACGTTTGTCACCGAGAGTTTCCTCAAATAAACGAACACCATTGTCGTATTTAACGAAAGGATTAACTTTAACATCGTAAATCGTGTTTAATATTCGTGTACATATAAGTAGTACCATTTATGCAGATGATAATGCATAATTTTGATTGATAAACAAAAATATTTTCTATTTAGTTTATAATCCGTACCAAATGTATTATATTATAGAGATGTAATAATTTTATTTTAATTTTATTCACACGACACTATTTAATCATTTATTATATTTTTATTTCATTCTTTTTTCTCCCCCCCCCCCTTACCTACCCACCCGCTCCCCTTTTCTTTTTTTTAAATTACAGGAACTTGTTTTATTTCGCTCGAACAAGCTTTCTAAGACGATATTATTACTCGTGACACTTGCTCGAAAGAGATTTCTCGAAACTTTCACTTCGTCACTTCATATTCCGTGCTAAGTTAGACGTGCATATTTTCTTATTCGGTCTCTCGCTCTTTCCATTTCTCTCTTTCTCGTTTTATTCTTATTTTATTTAATGTAAGAGGGAAACATCGTACTACGACGGAGTGCACTTTAAGAAGGACTCCGGACACTTTGAAATTCACTGGGAAAATAGTAAACATTCTTTGTTATATTGTGTATCGCGTGCAAACGTGTATCCCCCTTTTTTCTTTTTTTTTTTAGATTTCTCGTTGTCCCAATATACAACATTTTCATGTTTTAAAGATGAAAGAAAATGACGAAATCGAGCATACAAATTCCCCTTTCCCCGTACTTTAGTTCTGTGATTTTGTCAAAAGCATAAAAAGGGAGAGAGAGAGACACAGTCATTCTTATTCCTCGGAGGTAAGCAACGTTCTTCGCATTCTCTGAAACCACCGGAAAGTTTCTTCTCGTTTCTATGTATACGAGAGTGTATAGATGCGTGTATATATGTTTTGTGTGTGTGTGTGTGTGTGGGTGGGCGGAGAAGAAGAGGAAGAGGGAGAGAAAAAGATAACCCGCAGCGTCTTAATTAACGTTGCGCCCAACTCATTCGGCTTTTCATCATTTCCCTTACTTCGATGCTGGTTTCTTTATCTTCTTTCTCACTTTCTCACTTTGTAGGCCGGTCACTAGGGAATGTATTTTCAAAGGGAATACGAACCTGATCTTCCCTAGATTTCGTTTTCCACTTCTTCCGTTCCCTTCCGTTCCCTTCCGTTCCACTCTTTATTCCTTATTCTCCTACTTTCGTTCTTTACACTCTTGTACCTTTTCAATACCACTCACCCCCGCCGTCCGTCACCCTTCGAAAAACCTTCAGTAAGGGTTATAACCGCATCAAAGAGCTTTCTTAAATCGTAACCGTGGAGTACTTTGAATCAAACGAATGGTTATACATACTGCCTTCGGAATCATTTCTCTTTGGTTCCTCTTTACCTTTATCTAACTGGCAAAAAAAAAAAAAAGGAATCATCATCCTTTGTCATTTCTTTTCCCCGGTTGATGAAATCCACCGCCGCAAGTATCACAGAACCAAAGACGACCGTGATTTCGAATGGAAACTAAAAAGAACATAATAATATATATTCGTTTGACAATCGTTCGATGATCCCATGGTTTTTTTCTTTTTCTAACCAAATTTTCCATTCCATCTGTGGGTGGATATTTTTTTTAATCGTCTAGATCTTACTCGTTTCTTTTTTTGCTTCCCTCCTACCCTGCCCCCAACTCTCGCTCGCACTCCCTCCTTCCCTTCTTTTTCATTTTTATTCGTTCTTTTTAATCCGCGCGCATTTACAACGAAACCCAACGAAACGTTAGTCGAGGACCGTAGTACAAAGCTACGCGAGCGGAAAGCCTCGCATCGTTTCGCTCGAAAGAACGCATAACTTCGGTAAGTCGAGGCTGTTAGTTGTCGCGTTTGCTGAAAAACATTTAATTGCAAAGGCACGTTCCTTCCACTTCTTTTTCTCTCATTTCATTTTTTTCTCTCCTTTCTTTCTTTCTTTCTTTCTTTCTTTTTACGCGTTTATTATAGTTCGAAGTTATCCGGCAAAATTGTATTTGCATTTTCAACACGAATCAAGCGATAAGATTAATGAACGATTTTGTTTTTCTTTTATATCTCTCCCGCCCCTTCCTATTTTCCCCTTCTATTAAAATATATCTATCGCTTAATCCATTCGTTCAATTAAACATTCTAATATTTGTTTTGTTTTATTCTAATTATTAAATCAAATCAAAATCAAATTTATTTATTTAATGTTTTGTAACGAGAATTAAAATAATGAACTCTCTCGTGGGTATAGATAATTCCTTTAATCTTCCTTGAATAATAGCTTGAAATGTAAACCTCTTCATTAAGACGCAAATCATTGGGAGAAATACAGTATTGAAGTTTAACGGAGATTCCGTTGGAAGGGTTGGATAGGCTAGGGTAGGGTAGGGTAGGTAGCTAGCTAGCTAGCAGATCGTACGGTTTGATTCTACCGGACAATCTCCGATTGTGCCGCAAACATACGACCGAGAGGATTGTTATCGCGTGTTACAGCAGCAACAGGAGTAACAACAGCAGCAACAGCAACAGCAGCACTAGCAGCAGTAGCAGTAGCAGCAGCAACAGCAGTAGCAATAGTATACCATTGCTAGCTTTAGTATGTAGAGAAGGAGTTGGTTGACGGAGGAGAAGGGAGTGAGTTTAACGGGGTCGCTAAGCTATCGCCATATTGGCAAATAGTAAATATTGCCCTACCTAATTGTGCAGCCAGTGGCAGTAGCGATTTACACTGTGCTTCAACGCACGGCATAAAACATACTCCCTTAGAGAGAGAGACAGAGAGAGTGAGAGTAACCGAGAGAAACTGAGGGATTGAGAGGATAGACTAGGATGGAATGAAAAACAGTATATGAAAGATAGAGAGAGAGAGAGAGAATGATTA